GAGCTAGTGGGTCCAGAGAAGGCCTCTGCTCCGTGCAGCCACCACGAACGTCGACGACGAAGACGAAAGGGGCTCACTCGATGGCGTCAGCGGCAAGACGACGACAACAACGGCGGCAGTGGCAGTAGCACGGGACGCCCAAGAGAAGAAGAACAGCATAGCAGAGGAGGAACACGAGAAGGATTCCATTTCTCGGACTTGGTCGTGTGAGCTGGCTGGCTGGCTGGCTGGCTGGCTGGCTGGTTGGTTCGAGCACAGGGGTGGTGGTAGCGCGAGGGGTTAGTGGCAACGGTACAGGACGAAGCAGCCGCACACGAACGAGTAGTATTAGGGCCAGCAAGCAGCTAGCTAACGCAATGGAACGGCAAAGAAACGACGGGTCGACGACGATGGCGACGGCGAGGAGACGGGACAGAGAACGACTACTACTACCACGACCGTGCTGGAATGGTACCCATGCCACTACAGCACCATTACACAGAACCAGTAGCAGAGCAAAGCAGACAGCAGGCGGCAAAAGGGTACAGGCGGCAAAGCAGGAAACCTGGGAACGACAGGGGGCAGGGGGTGGAAGAGGGACACGCAGGAAAGATATCGGAGTCCGCTGGCAACGGCGACTGCGAAAGGGGCAACGGCAACAACGCTAAAGGCAGCGTGCCAGCGACGACGATGGCATTGGCGGCGGCAACATCTTCATTGGTGGCATTTGGCTAGAGCTCTGCTACAGCTGCTGTCGGTGGAACGATGGTCGTCTCTGGTAGAGAGTAGCAGAGAGCGAGGGCGAGAGCGAACAACAGAACGGGCGGAAGATGAGCGACTACAGAAGCAGAAGTGGCGGCAACGGCCGGTAGAGAAGTGCCACGAAAGGGTTAGACAACAGAAACAACTAACACCACTGACGTCCGCTGATTGTTGTGCATAGGGTTCGTTGCTTCGGGGAGGATCTCGGTCTTCAAGTTGTTATTCTTGTCGCTGCTGCAGTGGTAGTCGTACTAGTGGTAGTAGTACTAGTACTACTACTACTAATAGTGACGAAAGCGTAAAAGAGTCGAGGGACGACAAGTAGCATAAAAGCGAATAGAGCGACAAAAAACGGAAGACCATGGCTATCATGGCAAGGAAAACGAAGAAAGCAAAAGAGAAAGAGGAACGAAATTATCATTAATAGGCAATATTCTCGTAAAACGGACTACTGAACGGGTCGGCACCACTTAGTCAATATGTGAGAGTTACAGGCAATGCCTTCAGTGCTAGGATGAGAAGCAGTGGCACAGTTACTACAAATAATTTCTTTAAATAGTTTGCGGTATTAATCTAATAACTCAGTACCACATGTGTTTGATTAGTGAAAAAATGACTTTCCCTACAAACAAAACTGTATACGAAAACTTTACTGAGACGAAAAGAGACAAATAAAGAGAGAGCGAGAAAGGGGAAGCAAGAGAGAAAAAAATAGAGTTGACGCTAAGCACTAGCTAAAGTTCGATAATCAGCCGTCTAGTAACAATAACCGATGATCCTCACCGATAACATAGGAAACCCATACAGGTAGACGAGATTTGGGGCTGTGGTTTGGTTGGATGCGTAGTGGACAATGAACGTTGCAGCTATTTATGCACGACTGGACAGTCGTCCTTTGCTTGGCTGCGCGGCTACCCGCGTGAAGGGACGACGAATGAGCGTTTAGACTCCTCTCGCTTTATTTCGACGTCGAGGATAAGGGCTTTTGCAGGCCTGCCATGTCGCGGTCGATAAAAAGCTAACGGCCCGTCTCCCGCCCTAACGTGGTGTCCATCCTAGGGAGTGTGGGAAGAAGACGGTAGTGCCGTTGTCTTCAAACGCGGTACTTTTAGACAGTCGGTTCTCTGCTTTCTTGTGGGTTACTCTACTAACTCTCGCTTTCGCTTTAAAAAACGTTAGGTTGGAGAAGATTTGTGACCTTTGTTTTCACTCTCGGGAACTATTGCTAACCCTCAATGACCGACTAACATAAATAAGCATTTACGCATTTACGAAAACTCATTCACATCGTATGCCAATAGTCGCGTATTCTTTGACCCATTTTTGATACCCCCTTTTCCTTATCCATTTCTCCTATCTCTTTGTTCTTCTTCAACTCCAAAGCGAACTCGATCTCTGGGTGTCAATACACATGCGGGCTGAAACATCGTCGTTGTGTGCAACTTCATTAGGATATTGTTTGTCGTATCCGCTTAAATATCACTATCTTAGTAAGTGACTTCCGAAGGAGGGCAAGTGTTTGCCTTTTGGAGTTACCGGCCGAAGTTTTCTCTTCCTTGCTACTCAGTCCAAACGATTCTTCTTTCTTCCGCTACCAATATAACCCTGCTGCTCGTACTGTGAGCCGTTTTCCACTAACAGACGCCAAGATCCTTAGGGTAGCGACGGCTGTGTTGATGATGATCATTCATTCATCATGATAAAGTTATGACATACGTGCCAGTGCCGTGATCTGTGGCAAGCATTGGCGACAACAAAGGCCCTAGCGCAAACGCACTTCGATTCATAGTGGTAGTAGTGGTAGGAGTCATCTGGGTTTTGGCGCCAAATCTTCCATCAGCTGCTTTGCTCTAAAACAAATAGCTCTGCTGTGCCAGTCTTCCTCGTGGTTGTACCGTGTGACCTTCGTGTGGCGGCGCCACCACTGCCGGTGGAACCGCCGAATATAAACAATAATGTTCCGCCACTAGCCAGCCACCCAACCATTTGCCCCTTCCTCCAGTCCCCTTTTGCCACCCTCGCTACTAGTGATGTACAACGAGTGCTATTTGGTCTTCTTTTTTCGCTTAGTCGAAATACATGCTTCTCCATCCCGCGCTGTTTTATTGTGCTTAGAAATGCTCCTGCTTTGTCGCTGCTGCCTACGATGAGTGTTGGAGGCATCCGCCGGTGTCACCCCTAACGCCCTGGCAAGCCATACAGCCAACCTAGCTGCCTTTCAGCTTTCGCTTAGAGAGGACGATTGGTAAACACATGGTGGACTGAACTCAACAGCAGCAGAAGAATAGAGGGAACCAGAACCGGCTACACGCCCGAAAGCCGGCGCGTGACCCTCCGTCGTCGTCAGAGGAGGAATGGCAAAAGCAGCGGGCGTCTGCTCTCCCTATTCGACTCGACAACAATAACTGACCGAGCCACGGGCTGCTGCGAGCCGAGTCAGACACTTGTTAGCAGGAGCCGGTGGCGGTATTTCGGCGGTATGCGTGTGTTGTTGGTGGGATTGCTGAGACCCTGTCTCGTTTCGCCCCTTCACCCCACTGGTTGCTTCGCTGCCAAAGATCCTTGAGACAGCCCCCCCCCCTCCCTGAGCTTCTCGAACATATGAGAAGCCCGGACAGCTATCTAACTAGCCAGCCAGTTCTACCCCCACCTCCTGCGAGTTGTCGCGGTAATCCCGCTGCTACTGCTGCTAACGGGCGACGTAACCTGCGGCGCTACAAATAGTGTTAGGGGGTCCCCACTCTTGTGAGCCTGTCTGCTTGGTTGCTAGATCGCAGCTCTGTAACGTAAAGCATTACATTCATTCATTTATTGCGTTATAGCGAAAATCATCAAAGTAGTGCACGTCCTTACAACCAAATGAAGATAGCCGCTCGCTGCTGCTGCTACTGCTGACGCCGTCTTCATCTCGTTTCTTGCACACAGTACGAATGATAGCAGTGGCGGTAGCAGTGGCAGCGCGGTAAGGGAACTAAAAAAAACGCGGGCTCTGAGGGCTACCTTAGTCCGCGCTTGCCGAGTGAGTCGAGCGCGGGGTTGCTGGCGGTGGCGGCAACAGCAGCAGCAGACAGCAGTCGTCGTCGTGGTCCTGATCGTGTATCTTACACGAGATGTCCTCAGTGGATTTTTTTGCCAAAAGAAACGAAGTATCTGCTCGAAGAGGACATAGAAGGAATTTGCGCTAAGTCATCCGGATCGACCATGTTCCTCTCCACTGCTGTTCCGTCCTTGTGCGTTTGAAGTACGTTGATCAGACGGTGCTGCTTGAATGTTGTCAACTGAACATGACAGCACAATACTTGTTGGATAAGGAAAATTGGGCCAAAGAAGAGGAAATGGGTTTCCTTAGAAAAAAAAAATATTCTTAACATGAGGCTGAAGTTGACGAGTCGTAGCGCTTGTTTAAAGCTATTATGATTTAGGTGTAGCACAAGGGTCAGCAAAAAGAGATTAATAGGCGTCAATCAGTTGATAAACAAGAGAATTGGCATAATATAGTCGGAATGCGTCATCCTATTCCATTCTCAGCATAAGATTTTAATAAGATGACAACTTAACAGCGTCGTTTATTTAACTACGTAGATATGAGAACCTTAAAACTTTTATTGCGGTTGAAACTTATCGACAACTACTCGGACCCGTTTAGGGACGTTGTTGATGACTGACCTATGAGTAAAAACATGGACTATACTATCTACAGAGCTTTTTCTCTGTATATCATAGAGATTAGCGGCTGTCGAAGTTTTCATGGCGTGCATAGCTCGCTTAGTTAATTGACGGACCTTATCGTGTGCTATTGCCGCCTCCGCTTTTTCAGTTGTTGTACTCAAACGTGACGCGATGGCCCTTCATGCGTCACTCATTGCGCGAAGAAGAGGTGCAATCCTTTTTCAGAGGTTCCCTAGTTCGCGCCAGGTGGGCGGTTTCTGAAAAGCAGCTTCCCTTAGCATAGTGAACGGTCCGTCGCGAGCCAAATGGAGTTGTCCCCCTTTTTGCCCGCCATCAGCGGCCGTCGTCTGTTGCTCCTGCTTGAGTGAGGCAGGAGACTCTAGCTGCTGATGCTGATGCTCAGCAACGTTCGGGCGTTGGGTTTGCTTGCGTATGTTCTCATTCTCCTTCTCCACAGATGGAGCTGCTGTTGCTGCAACTGCGGACCTCGCTGTATGGGCGGCGAAAACGAGAAGAAAAGGAGTGCTAGAACTGTGCGTCGTATTCGATGGCCCATGAGTAGTGGTAGCAGTAGTAATACTAGATTGGAGATGGAGATCGGTCTTGGCGGCGGTAGGCGGAGTGCTAGCTTTGCCAGCCTCACTCTGTTTTGCTGCTAGTAGCAATAGTTCCTTTGCGCTGGTTCTCATGTGCCTCTTTGGTTGCCTTCTGTCGCTGTAGTTGCAGTAGTGGAAATTGCCTTGTCGGTAGGTTCTACTTAGTGCTGCCGGCTGTCTCCCTACTACTGCTTTTCGTGGTACCTTACCACTACTGGCCTGCAACCGGCAATGGGAAGGCGCCGCACGAACAGCAGCACGGTGGCCAGACAGCAGAACTACGCAGGGTAGTCGCCAACAGCAGAACACATAGCCTCCTGTGCCAACGAAAGAATGAACGAGTAGCCAACAGCCATCCTAGCTGCTGGGTGCTCTGTTCAAGTTCTCTCCATATATATA